TGATTAATATATTTAAGATGGAAATCATCTTTATTAATAGATAGGCATTGAAAAGCTTGTACTGTCACTATAATTGTGAGCATTTACTTACTTTAACTTCTGTAGAAGTTCTTGTGTATTTAACAGAAAGTGCTCTTCTTATTCTTAGTGTGTGATTATTGACAAATTCACTTGTAGTGCAGCTTATCCCTTGTGTCAATGGTATGAAGAAATCATTTGAAAGTAATTTCTTTTAACCTTCCAACCCATGATATCAGTGGTGTGGGGGGTTTGATTGAAGTTGGGATTAGGCGCCCTAAAGCCCTTGCCCGTCACAGTGCCATTAGGATTATTTGATTGCTGCCTGTGCAAATTTTACTGGCTGTTCAACAAGCACTTGTTATTCTTAAACATTTCCAGATTGACGTTGAAAAGTAGTCTTACAAGTTGATTTTAATGTCAAGCAAATTTTAGGTTTTTGTATTGAGGATTAGTATGCAAAACTGGCTTTAGGATCTCCTGTCTGATTCTTGTAAAGGCCATATTTTATGATATTTACATTGACACATTTTTTTTGTCAGTTATACAAAAACTAATCTAATAACATTTTGTATACATTTTGGAAAAATCCAACATTTGTACTAAGCCCATGTTATTTATTAGTGTAGTTCTCTGCGAGCACAGGATCGACGTTTCCATCTTCATCTCTTCATTGGTATCTTATCTCTATTATTTTGGAGTCTGGCTTGAGAAGAGGCTTATTGTCCTTGGTTACTATCAGTCATCATAGGGCCTCAGCCGCCTTTGATATTGACGAGAGCTCAGTAGACAGATAATGGACAGTATGAATAGTTTTTATGAGCAGCATCGCTTCAGCATGTTGAGTTTCAGATCCTGTCAGGAACTCTAATCTGTATATCTATAACCAGTATATTCTTAGTGAGAGGAAAGCCAACAGCATTATTGTCACAAATTGAGGATGTGTTTTTGTGATTGTGTCTCAAATTTGTTGAAGCAAAAAGTGGGATATTCTAGTTGCTGGGTGTAATTTTTCACGTAATTAGCAATATCAACATTATTTGAAATTATTCATGAGAAATGTAGGTTTTTGAACATTAATTCCTTGGTTGGGTAGTTACTTTGTGTGAGGTCTGTGGTGCTTAATTGGATATTGTGCACACTCTTGAGTAAACAAAGTTATTGAGTGGTTTCATATATTGATCAATAAATATTGAACTCACTTTTTGTAATGCTCATGCATGAAGGCTAGTTTTCTTACTATGTACATTTACTTGGCAAATTTGTGTTGTAAATCTTTTAACATTTTTTGTCTCATGGTAAAAGTAATAGCTTCAAGATAGCTGGAAAAAAAAAAACATCTGTACACACACAGATTGCTGCAGTTTTGAAGTACCACTCTTCCATGGTAACTTTCACATTTATGCTTTCAATTTGCATGAAATAATTCCTTTAGGAAAAAATAAAATGCTTTATGTAACTTGTACTTCATGATCTTGGACATACCTTATGGCCTAATTTTGGCAATAGGGGAACAAATATTTATGACAGGTGACACCTAGGAAAAAGTAAATGGGTCTCAGTTCAGCAGTATCATTAATTGCTTGGCAAACATCAGACCAGGGTCTAGAAAGGCTTTTTGGTATCCCCTGCTATGGGGGCCCGCCATTCATTATTCTAGATGTTTGTAAGGTTGACGCAGGGGGACCCAATGTACATAAAGATTTCATGGTTGAACCTTTGCAAGCAAATAGTTGTTAATATAGAAAAACAAAGTATTTTTGATCACATCATGCCTAATGCACAATGCCTATTTTTCTCTTTCTCACTTCGGCTGGGTGGCATTGTTGACTTTGGAGTCGGTTCAACAAAAAAGAAGTTTTACTATAGTAGAAGTCATCTGGGGGTTCTTAACTAGTACAAAGTGTATACAACTAGGTAGTCATGGCAACTGCTCTAGGGGTTTGACACGGCAGAAAGAATTTATGTTATTAATTGCCAAATCAGATGCAGTTAACTTTATGAAAACATTATATAGCTTACCATTTTTTTATGGAAGAAAAATCAACAATCATCCAATTAGTCATATTCTGTAGGAGATGGGTATTGGATTTCAACATTGAAATATGGATTGAAATTAATAATAGGATTTCTTTCTTTCTTTTTCTCCCATTTTTCTTTCTTTTTTTTTTTTTTTCTTTTTTCTGAAAGCGAATTATGTTTACATCGCATTAATTCTGAATAAGAAATGCATCACTTTTCTTAACATTACTTCATATCATAATAAGGTCCTTTTTCCGCTTCATTTGTGGATTATCCTTTGATGGTGAATTGCATTTTTAATCAGGAGGACATAAATACATTAAACAGAGAGCTGAAAGGTTTGGAGAGAAGCCATGATCAGCAATTGAAACTTCAAGAACTTCACATGCATAGGAAACAGGCCGATCATATGAAAACCTATGAACAAAAGTTGCTGCAAAAAGATAAAACTATTGTATGTAAAAAGGTTTACTTGTTGCATTCACTGTCACTGAATTGTTGCAGCTCTCCCTTTGCCAGACCAACGTGACTCTGTAGAATCTTGAATTTCAGTTGCAGCAAGCTCTTATAGGCACTGCTTCGTCTTTCTTTTTATGTGGGTGTCACTCTGTAGCACTTTTTATTTCTATCATTATATACATCTTATACTTTTTGCTTTTTCATTTATTTATATATATATTTTTTACCTGCTTGTTTTACTTTTTTTTCTTGCATGCATAGAGCTTTACTGCTTATCTCTTTCATTTTTTAAAAAAAATTTCCATCTCTACTTTTTATAACAGTCTCCAAGCACATTTTCTGCAGTTTGCAAAGATAGATAGATTTTCACATATTTTTTTACCTCGTACCCTTTTGTTTTCTTTGTGACATTAATTTAAAAATTGGTTAGTTTTGCTTAACTTGAACTTTTCATTAGTATTTTCTACTAGTCTAAGAGTTTCAAACTTAGGTGTTGGTACATTTTTTGTTTTCTATTTTTTTTTTTATTTAATTGATTTGTGTTTTGGATTCTTTAATTCTCTCCTCTTTTACTGGCATAGTTTTTATTTATTTTATTTCTGCATGCAAAGCTTGTACTGATTCTCATCAATACAATTATCCCCTGGCAATCCAAAAGTTGCAATAAAAAGTGCTCTTATAAAAAAAAAAGGAGAAAAATTAAGCAATTCATGTCACTTCCCTCACAGGCTGAACTAGAAGGTCTGGCAAGGACCAATACCACTGCCTCAGAAGCAGCAAGGCTAGCTAAGCAGAAGGTAGAACAGCAACAGCAACTGTTAGAACAGCAGAAGCAACAGCTTGATCAACAAATATTGCTGCATCAACAACAGCAGCAACAATTTGAACAAGAGAGGCAAAAGGAGCAAACCGTGTCATCTCTCCAACCCCCTGAAATAGTTGTATGTGAAGACATTGTATGTGATTAATATGATGTATGAATGATGTTTTGTGTTCCAGTTAACCCAGCCAAGCTGTGCCAACATTAACTCATTTGCTGCACGTTTTATTGCACTTTTTAAACAATTAATTTTAGTCCAATACTGTAAAATCATTGAAAAGGCCATTGTTTTTTCTTCAGCATGATCAAAATAAAATCGACTTGTTAAGTGGTTCGCTCAGAGCCATGATCATTACTTGTTCTACAGTTTTTTTCTTGTTTGTTATAAAATTGCAATTTTTGAACAATTGCCTTTTTAATCTCACAGACACAAACGTTTTTTAACTGATGAGAACTTCTCTATTAAAATATGTTCTAATCATTTTTGTTTATATATGCATGCAACATTTTGCTTTTAATTTTGGCCCAATATTTTATGACAGAGCTTGCAATATTTATATATTTCAGCTTCTGTGATTCAATTACATCAATTTCTATTGACCATTTGGTTTTCAGTGATCAAAATGCTTTATGATTGTAAAATACACACCTTTTGTATCTTATTGCAATTTGTTAAGCTAGAATTTAATGCAGATAAAATTTAATATGTAAATCATATTTCAACAATGGAGTTTGTTGGCTCTAAAAAGCCAAAAGTCTATTTTTTCACCAGTACTAGACAATCTGTACATTGCATAAAAGGTTTTCTGAAGCAAAGGCCTCTACAACCAAAGCAGCGGCTGTGTGACCATGCAGTTATTACATTTTCCAATGCACTCGCTAATTTTGAATATAATGCTTTATTTATTAACAGCTATAGTTTATGAGAGTTAACCATTATTATAGTATGATTCTGGTCTGATTGATGTCTTTATGAGAGGAGAATGCTTGAATGGTTTTAGTTTTCATGTGGAGCTCATTCACTAATGTGTTGTTATTGTGACATAACACTTAGGGCACTTGGTTCATAACTCATAACAACAATAACAGGATTATTGGCTACAATGCCATAACCTTTTATATCAGGTGCTGAGAGTGTACCTGACCCATGTATGGACGTCTGCTGTGAGAGTCTGGTGTGAGATGAAAGACCCACTATATGATATCACGTGGTATTGGGCTCTTTCTAGAACGAGTGAGACAGTTTAGTATTTAAAGAGATTTACGTAATTTAATGTTTGATGGTTTCTAAAAGACAATCAGTCTTTTTTATGAATACTTGGTTATGGTTTTAGATAAATGTTAAAAATTGGTGAATTTTTTCACACTTTCTGAATTTCAAAAAAAGTTTTTTGTTTTCGTTACTTGAACAAATTGCAATATTTATTTTTCATTAAAAATTGTTTTCTTACATTGGAATTAAAATCTGACCAAACAAAATTTAAAGTATAAGTGGGATTGAATGTGCTGTTGTTTCTCAAACAGATTGTGTGGTATTGCTTAGAGAAAAGTGAGTTTTTTAAATATTTTTTGTTTCTCCTATTTCAGACTGAGAAAAGTGATGACTATGAGTCGGCACAGTCAGATGTTGACGCTGAAAGTAAGCTTTCAAGGCAAAGCACACGGCAGGTGAGGAATCTGTTTCATTCTTTGATCAAGGGAGAATATTTGCACTGGGTATTTTATCATATAGGCCAGTATATAATTATATCATAGAGTATTCACATTCAATTAACAACAGTTCACTAAAATATGCATAGTTTTGAATAGCTATCCAGTTTAATCATGATTCAGGTGCTCTTAGTTGGGTAATTTTCTCGTTTAATTGGTTCAATTTAAGAAGTTACAAATGAAAGTTATGAAAATCCATCTAAAAGTTATGATATCTTTATTCTCACAATCAGAAGAAAAAGAAAGTCAGAATTAAGGTTGGTTGTGGTATATGTAGGTTTGTCAATGGGTCATTCAACTCACCCTTGTCAGTGAGACTATTGTTGTGATGTTGTATATTATGTATATGGTGATATCTGATACATCGATGTTGTACTATAGTGGTGCTATCATGGTGTTTGACTGAGTTCATGATCCGTGATAATTAATTGGATGTTTCAACATAATGAAATAATAGATAAAGAGAACTTTCTCAGCCAGTGATTCCCTAATAAGAAAAGAAGCACAAGATGTCTAAGACATGTTAGTTTCAGAATTTGGAAGTTTGGAAAAAATACAGGAATCTTTCAGGATATCTGACTTGAATTTCTGGGAGCTTAATATTTGTGGCTTATGTAACTTTTGGTTTTTAAAGAACATAATTAAGCTGCTATTTGTAAACTTATTGGATAACTCTTCCTTTTAGTTTGTCATTTCATTTACTTTTTAATGCATCTTGTAGAAGTAACAGAATTAGCTTTTAATGTAGTGATAATATTTGGTTTTCTTTCTCTCTGTAGAGATCCTTGTCTGCCAGTCTGCTAGGCAGAACTCGCCCTAAAGATTCTTTTGTGGAAGTAGTTAAAAGATCTCTCACAGACACTGAACACTACATGAATGTAAATAACATTGTCCAAACTTTCAGGCATGGATCCTAAATATTAATCCCAATGATATATGAAGTATATTTATATTAAACTTACAAAATTTTAACCACTGAGTCATTCTAATAAATACCCTGACCTTTGTTAACATTGACAAGGCTGGCTGTACCTATAGGACTGTTCATTCCTCTTGGCTTTTTCTACCCTCCTTATGTATACCTAAATAAGTGTAATTTTACAGTAATATTAATGATATGTAGTAACTGTGTGTGCATGCCTTGTATGTTAATATTACAAGTCACTATCTGCATTCATGGCTTATTGTTTTTACTACCTAGCAATATTAGCCTGTTCAATGATAAAATATTGTAAATGTGTTGTTATTGCATTGGCTGTGTATAGTATGCTAAAGAGACCGTTTTACTTTTTGATTTCACAAGTAGTTTTTTAAGAATGACAAATTCATATTTTATTCACAAGAAATCCATGGAAAAGTTTGCGCCAACTGTGATAGACTAATCTCATAATCCAATCCTGGTTATTGCCTCTGTCACATTTATTATATGTCAGTCCGTGCCAGCTTTCGTTAGTAAGTGTGTCTATGGTGTATAGATAGGTAGCCTGGTTTACACAAACCCTACAAGTCTGTTCGAACGAGGACTATTTAAGACTGAAAATCTTCTTAATCCCACATTAGATGGGTTGAAGATGGCAAAATTGGGTCTTTGTTCTCTCCATCTATCTGGGTTAATGTGGACATCTAA